CTTTCTTTTTCATTTCTTTTTCAAATTCTTAAGCTTTAAGTATAAAACAGCAACTTTGTATGTATACAGGATTCGTTCACGTATTCACGAGTAAAAACTACTCTCAGATAACGTACAGCATATATAAATGGTGAATCTCGTTCACTTTCGGATACAGGCACGACAGTCTGTTGATTCGGGCTCTTAGCTATGTAGCACGCGATATGCAGCACGTTGTTACCGTCCAAATCTATGCTGCTGACGTCCGCATTATGATGCACCAACAGCTCGACGAGCGGCCAATGTTCTTGCAAAATCGCTAAGCACAATGGTGTTTGTCCTCGATTGTTTCGCAGATCGATCTTGGCGCGGCCACCATTCTGCGAGAGGAGAATAGCCGCGACTTGCCTGTGGCCGCGTAAAGCTGCTAGATGCAACGCAGCGTTTCCGTTCTCCATTTTCACATCCACCAAATGACGCGCGCGTGTAACCAATTTTTCCGTTGCACTGCAAATTTACAGATTTGTTAAATTAGATTGATTGGGTAAATTTTAAGTATAGTCAAGTTATTGCAACCAAGACAATATTAAGTCGTTATGCAACTATACTTTGTCGTGTCTGCTTTATACACGTACTGAGCATTGCCCTTGAACGCGGCGTGATGCAGGATGTTGAAGTCCTGTTTGTTTTTCAGCGTAAAGTCGATCCTCTCGCAGGCACATAACGTGTCGATTACGTCCAGCGCGTTCTTCCCAATCGCTTCGTGCAATGCTATATTGCCATACAAGTCCCGGAGATTGACATCACAATGATAACGCAGCAGCACACTCACGCATTGCACGTTCTTCTCGTAAACTGAAATATGCAGAGCACCACGTCTGTCGTTGTTGACGGCGTTGACGGCCGCACCGCGCGACAACAGTAGATCCAATATCTCCGGCTCGGTGCTGTTTAGTCAAACGAGAATATCTTGAAGTATGGTTTTTGAACGGAAATTGTAGGAGGGTACAAAGGATCCGTTTGTTACTTGAAGAATTACAGGACACGAAGTGCGCTTTATTCAAGACAGCCACACGTTACGGAAATAGTGCCAAATTAATGAAACAAAAAAGGACTTGTAAATATAATCATAGATCATAAAAAATGTAGATAAACAAAAAAAAATTTAAGTTCTAATGATTCCAACAGAAGAAACCGATGTTAGTTTGACGTTACAATAAATTCAGCAACGACTTCCAGCTTACCCGAGTGCCGCGCAATGCAAGGGCGTATTTCCATCCTTGTCGATCACATGCAAAGAAGCACCAGCGTCCAAAAGGAGGGTGCAAAGCTCGCGGTGACCGTCCTGCGCGGCTATATGCAGAGCACTACGTCTGATCTTGTTGACGGCATTGACGGCCGCACCGCGCGATAACAGTAGATCCATTATCTCCGGTTTATTGCTGTTTAATCAAACAAGAGAGCATTGATGTTATAAGTTGGACGTTACGGCAGATCCGGTAACGACTTCTTACTTACCCGTATGCTGCGCAATGCAAGGGTGTGTTCCCGTACTTGTCGACTACATGCAAAGAAGCACCATTATCCAGAAGGAGGGTGCAGAGCTCGCGCTGACTATGCTTCGCAGCCATATGCAAAACACTATATCTGACGTTGTTGACGGCATCGATAGCTGCGCCTCGCGATAACAGTAAATCCGTTATCTCCGACTGATTGCTGTTCAATCAAACGAGAGAACACATGTGTCAAGTTGACGTTACGACAGATCTAGCAACGACTTTCAACTTACCCAAGTGCCGCGCAATGCAAGGGAGTATTTTTGTGCTCGTCGATCACATGCAAAGAAGCACCAGCGTCCAAAAGAAGGGTGCAGAGCTCACGCTGACTGTGCTTTGCGGCCACATGTAGAACACTACGTCCGATGTCGTTAACGGCATCTATAGCTGCGCCTCGTAATAACAGTAGATCCGTTATCTCCGGCTTATTGCTGTTTAATCAAACGAGTAAACACCGATGTTAGTTTCACGTTACGGTAGATCCACTATAAACGATTTCCAACTTACCCAAGTGCCGAGCAATGTAAGGGTGTGTATCCGTACTTGTCGACTACATGCAAAGAAGCACCATTATCTAGAAGAAGGGTGCAGAGCTCGCGCTGACTATGCTTTGCGGCTAAATGCAGAACACTACGTCGGATGTTGTTGACGGCATCGATAGCTGCGCCTCGCGATAACAGTAGATCTGTTATCTCCGGCTGATTGCTGTTTAATCAAACAAGACAACACATGTGTCAGGTTGACGTTACGATAGATCTGACAACGACTTCCAGCTTACCCGAGTGCCGCGTAATGCAAAGGCGTATCTCCGTCTTCGTCGACCACATGCAAAGAAGCACCAGCGTCCAAAAGAAGAGTGCAGAGCTCGCGTTGACTATAATGCGCAGCTAGATGCAGAGCAGTACTTCTGTTGTTGTCGACGGCATTGATGTCCGCGCCTCTCGATAACAGTAAATCCGCTATTTCCGGTTGATTGCTGTTTAATCAAACAAGAGAACATCGATGTTAGTTTAACTGAACGGTAAATCCAGGAACAATTTCCAACTTACCCCAGCGCCGCGTAATGCAAGGGCGTATCTCCGTCTTCGTTGACCACGTGCAAAGAAGCACCAGCGTCTAAAAGAAGGGTGCAAAGCTCGCGTTGACTATTATGCGCAGCCAGATGCAGAGCAGTACATCTGTTGTTGTCGACGGCATTGATGTCCGCGCCTCTCGATAACAGTAAATCCGTTACCTCCGGCTGATTGCTGTTTAATCAAACGAAAGAGTATCGATGTTAGTTTAACTCAACAGCAGATCCAGGAACGACTTCTAACTTACCCCAGCGCCGCATAATGCAAAGGCGTTTTTCCATCCTTGTCTACCTCATGCAAAGAAGCATCAGCGTCCAAAAGGAGGGTGCAGAGCTCGCGGTGACTGTCCTGCGCGGCGATATGCAGAGCACTACATCCATCGTTACTAACGGCATCTATGGCTGCGCCTTGTGATAACAGCAGATCCGTTATCTCCAACTGATTGCTGTTTAATTAAACAAGAAAGTATCGATGTTAGTTTGACGTTACGGCCGATTCATTAACAATTTCCAACTTACCCGATTGCCGCGCAATGCAAGGGTGTGTATCCGCCCTTGTCGATCACATGCAAAGAAGCACCATTGTTCAGAAGGAGGGTGCAGAGCTCGCGCTGACTGTGCTTTGCGGCTAAATGCAGAACACTACGTCTGATGTCGTTAACGGCATCAACAGCTGCGCCTCGCGATAACAGTAGATCCGCTATTTTGGGCTGATTGCTGTTTAATCAAACCAGAAGGTGCCTATGTTAGTTTGACTTTACGACCTCTCTAAATTTTCTGGAGTGATTTTCACTTTTTTGGAGTGAATTTTCATTCTTTTGGAGTGAATCTCACTCCAAAAAATTTAGAGAGACAGATCCAGCAACGACTTCTAACTTACCCGAGCGCTGCGTAATGCAAGGGTGTGTCTTCGTTCTTGTCAACCACATTCAAAGAAGCACCAGCGTCCAAAAGGAGGATGCAGATCTCATGATGACCTTTCTGCACAGCCATATGCAGAGCACTACATCCGTCGTTGTTGATGGCATTGATAGACTTGTCTCGCGATAACAGTAGATTCGTTATTTCTGGCTGATTACTATTTAGTCAAACAAAAGAGTACCGGTGTTATTTTGACGTTATGGCAGATCCAGCAACGACTTCCAACTTACCCGAGCGCCGCAAAATGCAAGGGTGTGTCTCCGTTCTTGTCAATCACATGCAAAGAGGCACCAGCGTTCAAAAGGATGGTGCAGACCTCAAGCTGACCTTTTTGCACGGCTACATGCAAAGCACTACATCCGACGTTGTTGGCGGCATTGATAGATGCGTCTCGCGATAACAGTAGATCGATTATCTCCGGCTGATTGCTGTTTAGTCAAATGAGAGTACCGATGTTAATCTGATTTTACAGCAAATCCAGCATGACTTCTATCTTACCCGAGCGCCGCGTAATGCAAGGGTGTGTCTCCGTTCTTGTCAATCACATGCACAGAAGCACCAGCGTCCAATAGATGGGTGCAGAGCTCGCTTTGATTTTTTAGCACGGCCTCATGCAGAGCACTACATCTGTTGTCGTCATTGATGGTCGCGCCTTGCGGTGAAAGTTGATCCATTATCTCCAGCTGGTTCTTGTTTAATCAAACGAGAGGATACTGATGTTAGTTTATCGTTACGGCAGACTCAGCAACGATTTTCAACTTACTCATATACCGTGTAATGCAAAGTCGTGTCTTCGTCCTTGTCGATCACATGCAAAGAAACGCTATCATCCAGAAAGAGGGTTCAGAGCTCGCAGTGACATTTCTTTGGGGTCACATGCGGGCACATTATTCTACCAACTCTGCAGGAGTTCACTCTGCCAGGGTACTTCTTCAATTAAATTAAATTCCCTTACACCGTCTATCTTGCCGTTATTTGCGTCCAACAACAATTTTTTCACCTCTATGTACTGTCAACTGCAGAACATGTTACCATATGGTTTTGTTTGTACGTAACATAGATAATATCATCTTTTCGCAAAATAAGTAAAATATTTATGGCTTTTAATATGCAAGAGCAAAAAAATAAGAAAGGAATGACCAATTCTTAGGGTAATTTACTTTAAATAAAGCTTCTAAAAGTTTTCAAAAATGACTTTAAAATAGTTTACAGATACTCTTATGAAACGGGAAAGTAGTAATTCCTATATAGATCTTAATTTTATTAACATTAAATTTTAAAGTTTTTCTATAATTTTCGATTTTAAGTATAAAATTCTATCAAAATTAACTTTTAAGAATATTCATTTTATTATTAGTTCTAAGGTTTATTCTTTAAACTAAGTTGTTCTTTTTATTATTCCATTGCATGTGGAATTTTTAAAGTGCTTTTAAGTTTTAAAGTAAAACTAAGTAAATTGTTATTTGTCTCTCCTTTTCAGGAAGAGATCATTTATTGTCGAAAGATATAAAATATTCTTTAGATTCTATATTTTCTATATTGTTTTTTATTTGTTATCAGTGAAACAAGTCACTTCGTACAAAGATTTTCAAAGAAAACGCAAAGTGAAAATGTTTTAAAATATCATTGTAATATAAAGTATTATATTTTATAATAATTGCAGTATTTTAACAAATAGAGTCGCAAGGCAATATATAGACATAAAACAAAAGCTTTTGTTTTTATGTTTACATATTTAGTAGTTATTATTTTTGCAAATAGTAAAAAACAGATTGTTAATTAAAGTAGAATGAATTTAATTTTTCTTACTTCTAACATTATAACTCATAACAAAGAAATTAAAAATAACCTAGAAACTAAATAACTGTATAAAATACATAATTGTATACCTACTATCATGATAGAAATTGAAGATATATGAAGTGTAGCAGGTAATATTACATATAACAGTAATTTATAAAATTACATATAGTTATACATACATAAAAAAAATGTATATAACAAATTATAACTAAGGATGTATAGATAATAAATCGGTATTTTATTTTGTTTGTTTGTTTACTAAATATTTATATAGTCTATCAATATTGTTTTTTTTAAAGCAACACTAATTTTTTAATAGAAAAAATTCAAAATATGTATTTGTAAATTATGAAATGACAACTGAATTAAAATGAAAAAATTATAATGACATATGAAAAAAGGAAAGATATATAGTCATATGGCTAATCTTTGCATTTGTCAATTCTTAATAATTAAGTAATATAATTAAGTACTTCTTTCATTTAATGCTTACAGTTCAAAACAAACAAATGTAAAATTAATTAGCTACATATTTATGTGTATATTGTTTCGTAAAAAATCTAGTACAGTAGAGATGAAACTTTTGTCTAAAAAACAACTTTGCTTTCAAAAAAGAAAATGTTTTCAAAAAACAAAAGCCGAATTCAGTTATACAGAGTGTCCGGTACTCAATGACAAAGCGCTCGGGCTGAACAGGTAGCGTGAGCTAAACTGAATTGAAAAGTCCTCTATCATTTTGCGATCTTGCAATAGTTATCGAGACACTAATCATTTAGAAAAAAATATGTTTAGGTCTAATATATAAAAAAATATACTTTACATCTTTTCTAAATTAAAAATATTATTTTAATAAATAAAAGTTGTTTAAAAACAAATATGAGATTATACAAGTTGCCAGATATTTGATTAAACATAGAGACAAAAATATTAAAAAAAAAATGGTTTAAACTATCCAGTAGTATATGCAGCAAAAATGTAATGCCATTGTCTTTCCAAATAGGTTTAAGTTTCATAAAACAGACTTAAAGTGACTAAAGTGATCAATAGTTTAGAAAAAATGTAATGTACGTTACTTTTTTATATACTTACTTGGCATACATTTTTTTTTTTAATGATTGAGTACCTCGATAACTATTGCGAAGATCGCAAAATGATAGAGGACTTTTCGATTCCCACATAGCAAAAGTGTCCAAAATATATTGTAGGAATATTCTAAAAATATATTTGGAATATGTGCAGATATCTTTAGAATATCGCTGTGATGTATTTCGAATATTTTTGCTGTTTGGGTTTAGTTTAGCTCACTCTACTTGATCACGAGTCTTTACCATTGAGTACCGGACACTCTGTACATACATACAGTCACCAAACTAATTGACCGGACAATGCGTTAATATATCGATAATTTCTAAAAATTCAAGATAGAGCAACTTAGTCAAAAATTATTGTAACATATGATTGAAAAAGCATTTCACAGCTTAAAGTCTCTACTTTCGAAATCCATAATTCATTAAATAACTTACTGATTCTTTACAAAGCTGTACAGATGCAAATGGAGATGCATCAAATCTAAAATTTTTTTACTAAATTTGCGAAGTTCCATAAAGTGAAATAAAAATCGCATACAAATTCGACTTACAGCGTTTGAAAGCGTGAATCTTTACCTTTAATTTGCACACTTGATCAGCATTGTGCGATTTTTTTTCACCGAGTTATTCAACTTTGAAGCAAAAATGACCTTTTTTGCTTTGATGTTGAATACCTCGGTGAAAAAAAAATCGCACAATGCTGATCGAGTGCGCAAATTAAAGGTAAAGATTCATACTTTCGAAAACTGCACGCCTCGTTGTTGTGCGATTTTTATTTAGGGCCGTGGAACTTTTCAAAAAACTTTGCAAATTTCCAAAATTTTGGAAAAAATTTTGAGATTTGTCACACCGCCATTTATATCTATGCGGCTCCGAAGAAACTTA